TAAACGCAATATGGGTCATAATGGGATATTACTAAAAGCGGGAATGAGGAGTGGGAAATTGAAAATAGGAAATTCATTTTTAAATTTTTTTTCCCTTTGGTTTCAGATTTACTCTTTATAATGAGGACCAGATATTTTGCATCGATATCCACATTTTCCTTCAAAAACTTTCAGGGGCAAAATTCGAGACATGAAATTAAGCAATGATAAGGAAAGAAATGTGCTTTGAGGAACAGATAATGTCCAAAGAGAAAGATGCAACCATATTTTGGTGCAAAGTAGAAGTTATTGTGTTTCATATCCTTCAAACATTTTGCAATGCCTACTGTTTTTTCATGGGATATTTTCTTACGAGGTTTCTACCATACATTTTTATGAACAAACAAGTATTTCCCTTTTTCTGTAACAACAATCTGTAACCAAATTTTACTTGAAGACTTATTGTAGCAAATGTAAGGTTTGAAAATTGGTGAGTATGACTTGGGTGATAATCTCGGGTATCCCCCAGTTTTAGCAAGGGAATATATGTTAACATGATGCATTTAGGCCAGTCGCACAAGAGCAAAAATATTTGATGGATCATAATTGAGGATATACCCCTAAGATAATCTCTAAATTTTAAGCCCTATGTCCATTATGATATGGTGAGAAGGTGTTCTGTGGTTTTTAAATAAAGAGGGGACATGTTTGTTTGTTCATAAAACCATACCAGAGAACACTGAAAAGAGAACATCCAATGCACTGAAGGGTTAGCTGTCAGTAAACATCTTTTCCTGCAATTCTAAAAGATATTTGAAAGACACTAAACAAAACAACTTCCACTCGAGGGGAAGGATGCTTGTTCATTCACACTCTAAAGACAAGATTACATATGTTTGCAAGAAACCTTTGTAAATTTAAGGAGTTGGCTGCACACTTGCCACCAATATTCATGCAAATTACCACTTGAACCTGATAGATATGTTATCTGTATGAAAGTAAAATTATTCTTTGATTGTGGTGTATAATCACTGGACAGTTGACATGCAATCACTGTCCACAGTGAAATTTGAGTTGTCCTCGAGTCATTTTTGTCAGAAAGACACTATACCAGTGGGAAAATATCAGTTCAAGGGTTTCACCTTTTCATCTTTTGTTCTTTAAATGGAATGTACAAGGAATCACAAGTCCTTACAGCCTTCACAGATGAAACAACATTTAGAGAGCTACACCAACACAGTTTAACACCTCGTCTTCTTAGTTTTTTTTTATTGTTTTCAGTGATGTACATGCTTTCATGGGATAATTGCTTTATATGCATGGATAGAATCACAAGAGACAATAAGATAACCTAATTTTTGTTGCATTGTAACCATGTGATGGTTGAGAATAAATGATGGAAGTTTGGGTAGGACCAACATATCAAGACAGGATCAAAGTATCAAAAGCACTGAAGACAAAAAGACAATTATATAAGCATTTGATGCTTTGACCCTTTACAAATATGGCCTTAAAATTTTTGAAACAAGACACAGAGATCTGCTTTGGCCATCAATCCCCAGTTAATAGTTTCTGCTTAATTTGACCTTAATGTATGTCAAATGAGGCCTCAAATGTGAGGCCTCTATATAGAACTAATGAAAGTTATTTTACTCATACTGTTGTTGATTAAAGGTTCTCTGAAAGCAAGAGACTAAAGACAAAACAAGGGTGATTTACATACCATATTTCAGCTGATAAGTGTTAACAAAACATACTATACTATCCAAAGGATGGAGATCTATACAGTGCATAGCATTTTACACCCTCGAACAACCAGGGCCTGATCTTGACTGCAAATGTGTCAAAATAAAAAGTTAATAGAACAAGAAAGGGATCAATATCAGTATCTGGGCAACTGCCCACCTACCCTTCCCCTAACTCAAAAACAGTTAATTGAGAACAAGTTAAGGTTAATGTTGGGTTAGAGGAGGGGTAGGTGGGCAGTTGCCCAGATACTGATATTGATCCCATGAAAGTTCTATATACATGAGAAATCCTTTAGAAAGCACAATAGAGAAATGACAAAGTCTACTTGCATCTTTCAAGAGTGATAGTCCTCGGTAGAAGCAAGGTCAGCTAAAGACAGGACAGTCTCTTTTTCTTGTTACTGTCTACCAATATCAATTCTGAAATAACACATGACCTTGCTTCCTTAGTTCATAGAAATATGGTATAAGTGACAAGAGTTCCTGGCAGGTCTTGGATGCCAACCAAATGGTGCAAATAGTCCAGCACTGTAACAAACCAATCAAAACACCACAGAACACATCACTCACGTGATGTCTGCCAAGTATGATACGAGACATCGACACGCACAGGGCCCAACAACCAATCAGAATTCTCCAAAGTCCATTTTCAATAAACATTGCAAATAAACCTGCAACCATCGCAGCTCGAGTAGAGTGACCAGAAGGAAATGAGTAATTATCCACGGACACTGTAGCAAACATGTCTCCTTCGTTATATACTGGTCTTTTTCGTCGCACCATAACTTTTAAGCCTCCAACTACGACTAGATCGAATATCAGAGCTAGAAGCAAATTACAAGCGAATTCTTGTTTAACATCTGAGAAAAATATCACAGAAAACACCGTTCCAACAATCCATGGAACTCCGTGCCCACTGATTTCAAGAAGAATCATCAGCGATCTCCATCTCCCTGATTTTTTGTCCGCACAAACGCTTAGATTCCTCGACAACGTGATGTCAAAGTTATAAAGATTTTCCATCAAAGTCGATTCGCTCGTGTTCAGATCACGTTTGTGACTTTCTTTTGGAGACAATTCTTTCTTTCCTTTTGTTTTACATTCAACCACATTATTCTTCGTTTGGTGAAAATTGTTGGACTCAATCGCTTTCTTGCGTCCACGCTCCTTTAAGTTGGGTTGATGTACCAAATCGTCTTTAACCAGAACCATTTCTCAACAACCTTTGCTCGACTATTAGGACAGATGATCGCCGGCTGATTCGGTGTTGAAGGCACGAGCCCGCAATATTCAACGGCGAACGACGAAAGAAAGCAAATTTGTCAGGGGCCCAGAAAGTAGAGTGACATTTTTGGAAATACTGTCTTATTTTGACCACTTCGCTGCCGCCTAGATTATCTATTCTGATTTTATTGACAGTTTTTCTTTTTTTCATAAAATAGAAAGAAGAGTAAAAACGCATAAATGGATGAGAATCATGAGCAATTAAACCCGCTCCCTTCCCTCTCCTCCCCTCTCCTCCCCTAGAAAAGTACGATAAAAGAAAGGTTACACAGCTCTCTTACTGCATTGAGAAATATGTCTTTGACTTCTTGAACGTTAGTGGAATTTGTTCACAAACAGATTGATTTTTGAGTCAAATTACCGAGAAGAGGAAAAGAAACTAAATATCTTAACCTACCAAGTTGATGTTAGTCATAATTGCTTCGTTCTCGTGACTTTGTGTGGAAATCAAAATGGGTTGCCACGTGTAAAGGTACGTTATTAATGGCGATTCAGCTGATGACGTTCACGTGAAGAAACAAGAAAACACCAATTCCTTGGTACCAATTTAAAAGAAGATATGCCTCCCAAGTTTAGTCGAGTTAACGGGGACGACAGATCCACCGCCAGAGCTTCTGAAAGGGTAAGAAAGATGTAGGGTAATGATTAGTAATGACTTTGTCAGTTTGCCACGACTGACACTAAACAAACTTCATGTTCTCATTGATGTAAACTTGTCGATGCTGCACAGAAATACTGGCTTTTGATCTTAAATTTTCCACATTCTAGTAAGTACCCAGAATTTTTTTTTACCATATGATGCAAGATTGGCTTGTATCAATAGTGCAGATAAAAATCTTTCACATTTGGAGCAAGCAAACTTCTAGTGGTCTTGCTGCTCATAGCAAGCCTATGAGGAAGAATTGTCATGAGAAGCAAACCCTGAAATAATGGCTTGTGGTATTTTACCAAATCTAAGCCAGGCATCGCTGGGGTTCCCTTTTTAGACAACTGTCTTGTGTCAAATTATTTGTTCATGCCTTGTCTGTAAAAATGTAAGGGTTATGTGATGCTGAAATAGACAGTTTTGATGTTAGAAGTAACCATGCCTTTGAAATAATGGCTTGAGGCTGAATTTTGTTCCATGATTTCTAAGGGATAGCTTGAAAAGAACTAATTTAAGGTGGCTCCTTAGAGTATTCAGTAATAAACCTCCCTTCAGAATGCAAATTTTGAAGGAAATCAGTTGATTTATCTCCCACAAGATATATACCAGTTCAGCAAATGATTTGATATGGCTTCTGTTTTGGGTGTCAATTTTAAGATTTATGATGTTACCATGGCAATATCATCTCAAATGACAGGCAGATAAATCATAATTTTAATTTGGCCTGAATACCCCAAAATTCTCACTTTCCCACCGTGAAATGTCTTCTTTCTTTGCCACATTATAGACATGATGTTGCATGACTTTTTGAGATGGAAGAAACTTAGGAACATTTAGACAGTTTTGCCAATATTCTCTAATTTGTCATTTTTCTGAATGTATTTGATTAGCTCTGAGAGATTTTTACTAAAATAGACTGTTAATATTGAATGTATGTGGCTAGAACTTAGTCAATTTTCAAAATAATTTTCCCAAGGAAATGCAATAAATCTCACTCAAAAGATCTGCTTTTCCTTGCTCCATGAAAAAGAAATAAAATAGCACTTTACAACGATTGATATCTGGGCTTACTTAAACTTTTGTAATCTGCTGCCTTTACCCAATTTTTTACCTGGTGTTTTCTTTTCTGGCCACCTCTTTTCTCAGGCATAGGGGACCTATGGATATTATGGGTATAGTTGCTAGAAACCTCAGAAACCCATGTTAATTTTTCAAAGACTACAAATTGAAAATTAACTTGGTCTTATTAACACAAAATTGCAATTGAAATCCTTTATTAAGTATACTAATCATGTGCTTTAATTTACTGTAATAAATGTACTCCAGCTTTCAATTAACAAATAGAGAATAATAATTCTTTAACTCACTAAATTCTCCAAGAATTACTTTTTATTTTCAAAACAAATCTTATTTCCAAAGCAAACAACAGTGTCGTTAGCATGCTCTATACTCTCATAAAGCATGTTACAATAAGCCAATCAGAATCCCTGTTAGAATGGTTCAAATAATCTGATTGGCTGTACAAGACTAAATCTGTCAAAAATGTCAAACCATCAAAGGTCATATTCTGCAATAGTTTGCAAACTAAAATAGCCTGGCATGTCAAATTTAACACTTTTGCCTGAAGTTTTTTAGTTTCTAATACAGGATCTGAAAGTGAAATGTTCAGTGAAATTCGGCTCAATTGTGGCTCACAAAAATATGCAAGTTATTTCACATGAAAAATAGAAAACAAACTGTTAAAGGGGAGTGTATTATGAATGAACAACAGCCAAATTCACTACGACATGAAGATTGCTCGGAATGACAGCACTGTTAAACTCGGCTGCAGTGACTGATGTGGCCTTCCACTCAACGCATCGGAAAGGTAACTCGGGCAAGCTCTTATTTTTCCACTCAAAGGGTAGTCGATTTCGTTCCCGAGGCTTGCTCCACTGTGATGACCAAAGATCACCATGATGAGCTAGCTGCGATAGACCTTAGCATGATCGTAGTCACTCTGACACCATCACAATTAGTACGAATTTAACAGTTATGCCAGGTTATATTTTTCATCATTCCTGTTTTTTTCTGTTTTGATTTTGAAAACGAAACTTTATATACTATACAAGTGTTAGCTGTGTTTGATTTTTATTACCATATGTAAACTCGCAATCTAACTGAGTGTGAAAACCGTTAAAATTCAGACTGTCTATTTTGTTTTATCTTTGAGGATTTTTGTCTCTGCTCACACTACAGTAACATAAATTACTACACCTGGCATTTTTGCAAACCTATTCTCGCTTGTTCCGAAATTTCACTTTCAATTAACGAAAGAAAAGCTAGAAGGAAGTCCCAGAAAAGGTCAGACATAGTACGATTTGGCAGATGGCATGACAGCTTTAGGTCAGTTCTATGCTCTATACTCTCATAGAGCACACTCTTTCAACCAATGACAGTACATGTTATATCTGAACTTTATTACAATTTGGTTTATTATTTATGGATTATCACAGGTCAGTTTACTTGATGACTCAGATGATGAAGATGGATCCAACATGTAAGTGACAACTTAATCTTAAACTGATTTTGAGAGCCAAGATATACATGTACATGTACAACATAGGTAGCCTGTGGTCATTTATCCTACACTCTACCCAACCCTCAGACTGGAGCACCCAAGGGTCATATTTACAAGTTCTGTTTGTTCCACCTAAAACTATGTAGCACTGGGCACAAAAACACCCACTGGTGTAGGTGTAGGGGTCCGTAAAGCTGATTTTTTTTATTCGAGATGATTCTGGAAAAATGGAATGGTTAGGGTGCCACAACCTTCTTCTCCATTCTTTAAATTTTGATTTCGAAATATGGTTTTAGGCCCGTTTAGTTACTGGGAATTTCAAGAAATGAGCCCTAGTGGTCCAAGGGCACAGAGGCTGTTACACAAACAGTGTGCTGTAGTGTGTGTTTATAAGGTCCAAATTGAGGCAAATTGGTGTGGCTGTACTTTTGGTTCTCCTTCCTTGGGTAAGGAAAGATAACCAAAATAGCCAGAATTGTATCTTGTTTGGGACAATATCTGATAGCTTTCATGATTTTAGGACCCTGTGTTGGAAAAAGGTTTCAGTTTCTTTTCTTCCTTAAGATGCCTTTTTTAGAGATAATTTGTGAATGAGATTACTTTAAAGAAAAAAATTTCTCAGGTATTTTATCTGGATTGAAATGGTAGGAAAGGGGCAGGGGGAGATGTTCCAGGAGGAATTATTTGACCTAATTGTAGTAAATTTCTTGGCTAACAGTCAAAAAAAAATTTTTTTTGAACTTGTTGCCTTCTTTTGACAAGTATGGGATATCAAAAAAATTATTTCTACAGGCTAACTTATGTTTTTCATTTTATAAAGATTTGCAGCACCTGATGGTTTTCATCACATAAAACCGCAACCAACGGTGAAGGATGGGATAGCAAAGGTGAAATCAGAAATTAAGGGTGTTATGGGAATAATGCAAGACAATATATCAAAAGTACTGGACAGAGGTTCAAAGTTAGAAGACCTGCAAGATAAATCAGGTAAATTAAATACAGGTACAGCTGTGCTGTAAATATTTGAATATATATATATATATATATATATATATATATATCTGTTTACTTTTTGCATGTTATTTTCATTACATTTTAACATACCTGAAATACTGAATTACAAGCATGATGTAGTTTGCACGATCATAAATGTAGCATACAACAGTGATGGCTGAAACTTATCGGGGCTCCAAATGAAAAAAAAAATTTAAAGAAAAAACTTAGGTATATTCAGTTTCAGTCAGTGGAGTAATAGTTTAGGACAATGTACAGTGTACTATCTGTAACAATTCTTTTTTTTTAGTGGGTTCAACATGATGATAGTTACTGTGTTGAGCTCTTTCTTGGTTAGAGGGATCTGCATTTGAGCTGTTGGTGGGTTGTTGTGTTGTGTTCTTAGGCTAGCCTGCAGAGCAGGCATACAAAGTGTAACTTTTGGCATGTGAGTGCTCAGTATTTTCTTAGCAAAAATTATGGTTGCCATCTTTGATTTAAATGGGAATGGAAGGTTGGAGAGAGAAAGACATTTGTAGTGTACGTGTCAAAAATAAGGAGAGAGGTGGGAATGGGGGAGTTGATATTTTTGGCCTTTCCTGCCCACTTCCCCCACTGCCACCTCTATTTCCAAATCAAACATGGCCGGTTGAATAGACGACCGCAAGATTCTTAATGTTAACTTGCCCTAAAAAGACGCCTGCACTGCATGCTATTCTTGGGCACAACACTTTATTCTCATATTATGTCTCTCCAGTGAGGTATATGAATGGGAACCAGCAAACTGTTGGGGAAACATGGCAAAATGCTGAAGGATGACCTGCAGTGAGGCAGTACTTCATCCATTGGATAGTACAGAAGCAGTGCTTTAAGTGCTGTAGCTTAATGCTACAGAAAATAAGATATTAATCTTCTGTAAGATGTCCCACCTGGCTTGTGTGTTATTTTAATGATTGCATTTTTTCAGAGGGACTGGAGATGAGTGCATCACATTTTAGATCAGGGTCCAGAAGACTACAGAGAAAGTTATGGTGGCAAAATTTTAGAGTGAGTGTCAATTTTCTTCATCTGAAAATGTCTTAAGATGTATGTCATTTCCGCTCTCAAATGGTTGCAACCACTTTGTAGAGGAATGTTACTTAATATGTATTTAGTATCCTTTGTTTTAATTTTCACAGTGAAAGCAAATTTTGTTTGTCTTAAAATGTCTTACCTTTCTTTCTTTTTCTCCCTTTGGGCTCCTCATTCTGCTCTATGACTTCAACAATTCTTCCAAACATTGTGACTCGTTTCTCTTAGGATTATCACTTATTAATACATTTATAAAAGTCTTTCTCACATCATGGGGAGGGCAGCCTGCAAGGTTCCAGGACATGGATAGCATAGTTTTCAAAATGAACACTTAAAAAATAATTCACCCAATCAGACTTAGCCCATCAAATGTTTTTTTTTTTTTACCTGTGAAATTTAATATTTTGGGTTGCTGGTTGGTTTGGAATGTGGAAAGTTTCTCTTGATAAATCTGATATCTTTTTTTTGCAATGAACTGTAAGAGTTGTAGGAGAAGCTTTCAAATTATTGTCCAAGAAATGTCCTCACCTTTGCTACAGAAAGTGTTACAGGTTAACTCAACCCATCCAGAAACTTTTATTTGCCATAATGTTTTCATTTTGTTATAGCTTGAAACCAGGCCTACATTGATTATACATCCCATATTTTTTTTCTGATGAGATTTTCTTTTTTCCTTTAGCTCAAGTTAATCTTTGCATTTATCTTCATTGTAATTCTCATTATCATAATAGGTGAGTTTTAACAGGAAATAGAAAACATATGTTTCTTTAGGGTAATAATGATATTTACATACAGTATGTAGGGATTGCTAATGAAGGTAAAGCTACAGCCAAACTTTTCTATAGCAGCCACAATGGAGGCACAGGAAAGTGGTCATTATGGGGAGGGAGGGGTGTAATGTGACATGCTGGTTGGGAGGTTCCATTTTCAACTTTCAAGATATCTTATTGTGGCATATATGCAGTGCCTCAGCTCAATTTAGAAAAATGTATCAAATCATTGATACATTTCAAAAACAAGTGTTCAGAAGGAAAAAAGTTTTGAAAGGAAACTAGGGAGGAAGACTGAGTTCATCAGCTTGTACAAATAATGTTTTATTTTTATGCTATTACAGGCATGTTATTGCATTCAAGCTGCCCAAAATGGTCACTAGCTTGTAGCATGGACGAGTTCTTTTGTTCCCCATAAACTTTCTAATGGGTTATCCATTGGCCATTGCTTTAGGGGCAAAGACATAGTGGCTGATGTGTTTTTGTAGCTGCTGTGGAGAGCTGCCTGTTTATGGTGTTTAGCTGTATTTTTAAAGATAGTATTTGGGATGAATTTTCATGTGATTCATAGTCGAAGTGTAGGATATGTTATTGTGTTATAATCATTCCCCTCTCGTTTTCAACATGGTTACCAGGCGACACTTTAAAATCTTGGTTACATGGGTGCCCTGTGTGAACGTCTTCTGTTTGGTGACATTTTTTTCTTCCGTTATGTTTGCAGTTCCGATTGTTGTGAAGAGTAAAAAGAAGTCAGAAGACAACTCCAGATGAAGGTCGTTTTTTCAAAAATATAGTGAATTATAAATGAAATTTATTTCAGCCTAGGATTATGATCAAATGTTAGAGTACTGCTGAATGAAATCTATTAGGAAATTACAGCAAGAGGAAACAATGAGAAAAATGTTTAACGTGTAGGTGTCTTTACGTGCCTTTACGGACTTGTATATAAAAATAGCTTAACCTAATAGAACACGAATTGAAAATCTCACAGTTTTAGCCTTGACATTTTTTCTTTTCTTTTTTGTTAAATATCTGTGTACTCGTATAATGATTTCTATTTGATAGATGTTCCAAAATTGTCTCTACCATTTAAATTCAGTTTTCTCTGCGGGACCAAAAATAGTTGTACTTCACTAAGATACATATATTTTCGGGTGGGAGTTTAATTCACAATCTGTGAAAGATGAGGAATTCTTTTTTTCAATATAGTATTTTTTTGAAACGCAGAGAAGGTTTGTGAACAGTTCTTCTGGAGTGTGAATTATGTCTGAATATTCACCAAGATAAACTCATTGTGACTAAATTCCAAGCGACCTGATATTTGCTATGCACCGACAGAACATTTCGTGAAATAGAAAACCTAATTTAGCAGTAGAACACATTATTCCGGGCTCTGCAACGTAATAACGTAACAGATAAGCTTGAAAGTCACTCGCCTTAGACTTGTGATTTACAAGCTTTTCTCTTGTTCTCCCAACAGTCCATGTAGCTTCAAAAAGTTGTAGATCCCAGTAAATTGTTATGTGTTGCTCACTTAGGCATGCACAATTAAACTGGTACTGATCTAACCAAGCGCTTTGGCAATAAAGTTCCTCTTCTCAAAAACTATCAGAAGAATATCAGAATGAACAATTGTTGCATGAAAACTTGCCTCCAAAGGTAGCCATTCTCGTTCAGCAGCGATTTGAGGGAAAAAGAGTGCTATAAGGTGGGAAAGTTTATTTATGTTATTGCACGAGATTAACTTCAAACACGGAAAACGGTTGGTTAAAGTTGAGCAGGCTTCAATCCAAACGATGAAAAGTTGACGCGATAGAGGGTGTGGTTCGGAAGGAAAATGGGAAGGACAAAAAGTAAATGGAAAAAAAAAAAGGAGATAAAGAGCTTCATAGAAAAAGCACATACGATTTCCGGTACACGTCGCATAGTTGATGTGAGTATGTAAATTTTTGTTGTTGTTTTTTTTTTTTAATGTCTGCTCCCACGTAAAAATAGGCGCGCAGAAGGCGGAATTGAACCGCTCCGACGCTAATCGGCTACAGGTTTGAAGCCTGCACCCCACACCAGTGAGGCTCATCCGCGCGGTGAAAGTATGGTTGGCCATTCGTTTATATATGTTAGAGTATATAACGCCCCGTAATTGTGGTATGGGAGGTCCTTTTTCAAAAAATTTAACCCTTGTATCACAAGAGTAAGGTAGGTGCCTTAGAGGACCTTTTACCTACTTAAAGTTCTGCTTCGTCACTGAGAATCGTTGAAAAATAGTTAGGGTCTAAATTAGATTGTAGCACTCTCACGCATGCGCAAAGGAAACCAGTAAAACTTCGTAAATTGGAAATCAGTCGAGAGGTTTTTCTATATTCTTTTGTCTCTAAGATTGATCGACATTGACCGAGTTTTAAATATCCACACATAATTTTTTTCTTCTGTTACTCTGCTTAATTCACGCTTGAAAATCTCTAATTCTGTGAGTTAATCTAGGCCAAGTACAGTGTGCCTGTCATATTTCATCTTTGTGGACTCTTGTCTCCATTATAGTAAGTGGTACTGTTCTGTTGCTAGAGTGCACCAATCGACGATTGGCATGCATACATTGATCAACTCTGATGAATTTGAATGTAATAGTGCATCCCCTAGGCCCCTTGAACGAAAGCAGGGATCTATTCGTAATGGTAGACATTAGTGAGTTATTTCCCCCCTCCGCCTCCGCCTCCGCCTCCACACATTTTATTGAACTTATTGTGAAACAATGCTTTTGTTTTTCATTTCCTTTTTTTTAGAACGATTTCTTGTGAGATGTGTATATAAAATACGTCAACGGAGTAAAAATATACTGTTTATTGCAAATCACGTTAAAGTGACATATCGATTTTCTGAGTTTTTTCACGCTATTAATTACAAATTATCACCCCTTTCTGTCAGAAAAAGACTGATATTCTAATGATAAAGTCTCATGCAATTTGTTTATGAATGCTGACACACCGAGTTTCAATTTTCATTCATTAACTGGCACTCGTTCTCTGCATTTTAAACGGGCTATAAATTTTGACCTCCTTTTAAACGCAAACTCCGTACTGGTACGAACGTTTTATTGACACGTCCCTAAATACCTACGCCGTTTGAGTAATTCGTTAAAAATTGATTCTTGAAATCATGAAAGTTCTTTACTGTTGTAAAAATATGATTTAAAGCAGTTATATGTGAATAAACGTAGACTGCCATATTCCTTCTGACAGTCACGCAGCCTTTTCACCCTTTTTTTGCGTGACGGCCGAACGAAAGGCTGATCACTGAATAGACGCCTGCCTAAGGTAAGCTGGAAAGATCTCTCTTTGGAGCGACGCCTTTCGGTTTTGCTTTCTCCTTCTTCTTTTCTTCAAACATCAAGATCCTATAAGGGTAGTGGAGAAAGGACAGAGCATAAACAAGGTTTCTTTATTTCAACATTTTCAAACGGTATAGGGAAGCACCCTGCCCCACCCACCCTCCCAACCCTTTCATTTAATTAGTTTTTCTTATGCATTTTTTTAAGGGATTGGAAAGAGGGTAATCTCGTACCCAGATCCTACCTTGTAACTGAAATGCAAGTACAACTGCATGGCCGTGGGAGGCTTGGGTAAGAGAATAGAAAGAGGGGGTATTCTCCGTCACCCTCAAAAACAAGGTGATCATTACTCCTAAAATACCCTGCGTGAGACATTTGTTGTTTTTGGTTTTTGTTTTTTTTTTGTTTTTGTCAAAGCGCATGTACCGAATACTTACAATTTCAGAACACTTGATTTCTTTCCAAGCATCATTGTCAGAAATTCGGAATACGAAATTGTTCCTGCAAGAGTAATAAAAACATTAATTGTCACGAAAAGCAAGCTTATATAGTGCAGCGACGGTAATCAGTTTTTAACTTGTCTTTTAGGCATCGTAACACACTTAACTTTTTAAAATACCAACCTGAGTTCGTTGTATCAACTTCAGCGATCATTTTCTTCAGCTCCAAGTGGGTCTTCGCTTGTTCAAGTTTTTCCATCATGCGTTTGAGTTCCATGATGTCTAACAAAAAATAATGATAAAATAGAGAAATTTAACCTCGATATCTTTGTGACACTTTAAAGTGGAACGTTATTTTACCAGGTGCTGTTTAGAGACTTTCCATTTGGAGTGTTGGGATAACTCGTTACAACCTCAAATCAAAATGCATACTCTCCAGACTTTTCTCTTTAAATTGCCTAAGGCACTGACAATTAAGGAGAATTTGTTTGAACAGTTAAGAGCTTCTTTAGTTTGTGATCATTTCCTTTACTTTCGTGACACTGATGTGTGATTCCGTGATCATGTTAAAAGAGACTAACTGCTGGCCACTTTTGGGGTCAACGGGCTAATAGGCTCCAAGTCAAGGACTTTCCGAGTGGATGGTTGTGCTCCAAGTGTACCGAAGGCAATTGTCATCGTTGTTCAGTCACCGTTTTTCAAATTATCTTTAGATAGTCTCTCGAACAAGGATGTGTTTTCCAAAACGTCCGCATAAGGGCTAAGTTCGACCCAATTCTCGAGTGAAAGCAGTACAGCTTGGCGGACAGCGTAGAGATAATGGGGGTAGGTTTCTAAAGAAACTGTAGTGCTGCGTCGGTGAAAGGGTACAACAGGGTAATTTAGTCGTTCAAGCTATATGCATATACGTGCACACTACTGAGACAGAGAAAAAAACGAATCCAACTGCATGACAATTTTTGTGTTGTTTTTTTCTTTTGGTCGCTCCTAGAAAAGAAGAGAAGCATAGTCGTAACTGGGGATCGGAAATACTGTTGCTTCTCTCCAAATTCTCACTCTCGGTCAAACCTTTAGCAGCAGATCAGATGCACGTAATCTTGTCACACATTGGTTGTTTTGCGTGACAACATTTCAGACGATGGTCCGCTGAGTCAAATGGAAGATATCTCGGCTACCTTTTTAAAATTTTGCGGAACTCTTGAAAGCAAGAAAATCAATTAATCGCATGTCACCATCGATATGGTCAAATAGTTATTTTCATTTAAAAACCTTAACGCTGAAAGCTTTCGGGCGGTTTTGTTTTCACAATTGATGACAATTGGTCGGATGATCTTTGGTCTGTCTTTTTGTGTAGCAATTGTTTTTTTTAATCAGTAGTTCCCTTACACCAGACACCTCGAAAAAATAGTAGAATATTAATTTCACTTTTTTAAAATGTCAATCAATCATGGGTTTAACCGAGATTCCAAACAGAGCCATGCACATAAAATTATATTAATTGAAAAATTGCATTATGGCAAAGTTCTGAAAATTCCAAATATGTTAACAGATCTTTGTTTGCTTTCACTTGAATACTTTTATTTGCTAAACGTAATAAGATCAATATTTCAGCCATCGTTTTATCGCATATAGATATAGATATCACGCACGAAAACTCACCGATATCCCCCGAATTATCTTCGTCAAATTCCATGAACTGCTCTGTTGACCGAGAAAAAAATATGAGTCAAAAGGTCTCTTGAGATCTCAAGAAACATAAAAAGATCGTAAGAATATCACTTTTGGGATTTGAATTATTCGTGATTCTCACGTGAAATAAATTGCTGGCAATTGTTCAAAAGCCAAACAAACATAATTAGTATTCCTCGACGCAACTTACTTTTGTAGCCTTCCAGCCGATCGTTGAGATCAGGGTAGTCATCTTCGTCATCGTAATCGCCGCTGTCTACGAAGGACTAGGATAAATACAGTATTCTTTATTTAGAGTTATTTAGCAATGCAAGCCAAACGTATGTTCAAGGCCTTTTGAAGTCGACTGCGTCGATGAATAAAGGAATGATTAAAATGCAACTTTAACCCCAGCTGGCTGAAATTATGCAAAGGGTTTCAATTTCGGAAGCGTCAACTTCGTAGCCCTTCAGCTTTGATTAGCTTGAGAAGTATTCGATTTTAAAGTAAGTTATTCATCTCACATACAGATCGCAAACACAGATCAGGATAGTGGTAAGCCAGAGAAACCGGAAGCGAATTCATCAGTGAATTGTCTTGTAAGTTTACTAAGGTATCACTCAGCTTTTAAACCCACCTTGTTGATTTCATCTAGATTTCTTTCTTGGTCGTTTCGAAGTTGTCCATAGCGCTTGCCACCTGAAAGAACATATGATCAGCACTGATATTTTTTAGATAGCCACCGATCAAAAACTTAGGTTCACCTTGATAATCGATAGAAGTCATCTTGAATAGAATCAGCTCTTCCCGTTCCTTGACTGGCGTGGACAAGCCTTTGATTCTGTATTTAAAAGGTCATAAATTCGACACGGCCCACCAAATTTCTTTCGTTTGATTGGCTCGTGCTGATAATTATGCAAAAAAAGGTGACCCGCCTTGTGCCTTCGGCGAAACCGGAAGCCCTTTCGATCCCACATAAATCACGGTATTCGATTCCACATCTGGCTTTTGTAGCTTTTGATGACTTCAACCTTTGATATTGATGTGCAGTGTACGAATATTGGGTTAAATTTAGCAGAGAACAAAATCAACGCGAACGAGGGAGCTTTTATTAGATCGTCTTTTGTACTCGCGAACGGAAGTGAAAGCTGGTGACTAAGAAAACAATGAGATTTGATTGCATGTTTTGTTTTCAAGATAGTTCAAAACGTTTCTCGTCTCCTTTAATATATAGGCAGATTTCCAACACACTGAGAGGTTAATGTCTGGAAGACTTAACACATTCTCGTAGATATATGCTTAGTGGTAAGAAGCAAAGATATTATTGATGATTTTCATATATTCACAGTCATTTACAAACGGGAATGTTAAATTTCTTGAACGTCAGTTTCAACTGGTTTGATACTTCCTTGTTTACTTTCTTTCGTTTCCGAAGACGCGGACGTGGGACTGAGTAAGTGTTTGTGTCTACACAGCAAGGACTGAATCACTGCCTTTTATGGTAAAGATTCAACTTTAAGTTTGGATAGAAGACGACTTCTTCCTGATTATGTACGCATAAATTTTCAAGTGTATGCGATCACGAAGAAATTATCAAATCGTGGGAAACGTAAAAAACTTAACTATGGGAATTTTTGGAGTGTGGTGCATGAATCCTTTTAAGGGTAACGGAAGACCACAATCGAATGAATTTATTCATTTATCTATCTATTTTTATTCATTTACATAAATTTTTCCTTCATTTAACCAGCTACGTAGGTGAGGCCAGTGAAACACTCAGTCAAATATGGACGTGAAGTTGAACTGAAATAAGGCTCAGGTAGAGGTAAATTAACTGCCATACCGAGTCAGCGAAACTTTAAGAACCAAACGGAAGGGACAGGACGGGCTTACCCTGCAGCCATCAACCTTACCAGCGGTTAACACGAGGCCGAGAATATACGGGCAGACTGATACCCACCCCTTCTCCATACTGTTGTATAAGGAGGGATAGATGGAGCCCTCATTTCCTTTATTAAGAAGGGGGTTTTCATCAAGCTTTGGGGACTTTCATACGCTTGATTTAAAACGATTCAACTATGGGGGGATAAAAGGTTTGCGAAGGCGTTTTTTGTTAATGAAATCGAGGTGGCGCGGTAGGTGGACTGTTAAGAGAGAGCGAGATTCGATTTATTAGGATTCTCAAATGTACTAATGAAAATTCAACTCCTAAGGCAGCCAGGGGCACAGAGGCACAAAATTGACAAAAAGTGAACAAAATGTGGCTATTTTTATCCAAGTCTTTATCATACGCCTTCTTAAGAGCAATCCCAGAGAAATCACCAGACACTGTCTCAACGGGTGAAAACTTAGATCGCAAAAAACTATCAAATAACGCCAGGGTTGCCTGTGGGTTACGTGACGTGAGCGTGACACAACCGTGACATATAATTCGTGATGGACGGAAGACTTGGCACCATGGGAACTAATTTCAATATGGCGGCGGATAATTCAGTTCGAACGCAGTGCGACTGGCACTACCAAACCTTTCGAGGAAAAACACTCTCAAAGTCATCATTTGCCTTCAAAAATGTTCCATTTTGCTTAGCAAGAACTGAAAGCGATGGAAAATGGCTATGGTAGCGATAAAGAAGCTAAAATGGAGACCACTTAATCTAACTTAGGTAAGGATTATCTTTTTCCAAATAAGTTCACTAATTAAGTTCAATAATGAAGACTTCAAACAGTTTTCATTAAGCGTAAATGAGGGAAATGGATGTACTGTGGTTGTGATTTAAGCATGCATGTTGAGGTGGAGTATGGAAGTGAGCTTGTTTGGACTGTTACTTGTTTCTTAGGACGTTGCTGGTAGTTGAACGTAAGGCAGCGTCCTACCCGTAGTGTGATTCTCTAAACATAATTTCGCAGAAACCGTTCTGTACTTAAAAGGCATTTCCGAAACCATCTTACGGTTCCTACAACCCAGTGATATCTGGACTGCACCAATCACTAGTTAACCATATTTACTACAAGGCAAACAACAGACCTTTTGTGGTGAGTTACAAAATCAAAATTTCCTACTACCAGGCCTCCCTCATCGGAGATAAGGATAGGAACCTTCAAAAATAAAAAAATGAAAACTTTTAGAACACAAAAAACTGTCGAGAAATGTCAGTGATGACAATATCTATCCTGAACATTGTTGACTAACAACCTAACTTTAGCCTGGAACTCTGATCAGTGTTCAACCTACAGCATTAACTACTTTCAATGATCGTTGTTGAAAAGCTAGTTCACTTGTGTGGTACATAAATAATCCTCAACTGTATGACAGATACCTGCAGTAAACAAACTGTTTTCTTCACCATTTGTATTTGTTTTCTTCTTTTGCGTACATGTCCATGACACAATGTAGTTACTATTGATACCCTATGAAGGCTTTGAAACCAACAATCAGAACAGAATGATGTAACTTTTTGATGGATCAAAACTGACCACCACAACTGATTCACTCTTTTTAGAATAATTCTCTCCTCCCATTAATTTATTTCTTCTGTAAATCTCTTGCTACATACAGGAATTGTTTGATCCTTAATAGCATAACATGGAAAAAAGAATTTATTTTCTTGGAAACCCAACATCAGCTTGTTGCTCAATTTCACTAAACAATATTTTACAGATATAATTTTGTGTTATTTAAATGAACTCAAGGATTTGAAAGGTTGGAAAATGATGAAAATAGGAAAAAACACATTTAACTTGTATTGTAAGGGGGAATGATAATTTTGACTGTCAGGAATCTAATCCACTCACTGAAAAATGTATTCTATGAGTAACTCTGACATTACAAAAAGGTGTTAGTATTTTTCATAATAAAGAGAAATTACTTTAAAATTTCCTTTCATGTCAAAATCCCTCTAGCTTTTCTTTGGAAGTTTGAAATTTGAGTATTTTTAAACATGTGGTATTTAATATCAGTTTCTGTTCAAGATGTTTGGATTTCAAGTAATACCTGGAGCAGAAAATTAGCCACAGGTCCTATGTGAAGAAAACAAATATTTACCAGGGCTTGACTTATTTCATGATACACCATCAAAGGAATGTAACACGTCACAAGAATCCACTCACTTTAAGATTTGCTCCCATTTTAAAGCCAATTTTGCTTGTAACTACCCTTTTTAAAGAGCTCAGCATCTAGGAGTATGCAGTTTTGTCTTTAAAAGCCTTGAAATTCTTCTGTCTGAAACCACTACAGTTCCCCCCTTTTCATTTTACTCTTGAAGGGAGCAGGTAAATTCAGATTTTTGCCAGTAGAGAGCAAACTAATGTTGAGTGTAAGCCCATTTCCCTCCAAATTCAGAGAGTGAATGATATTTTGAACATGTTTCAGTTTTTCTGGATCAATCTCAGAGGATGAATGGCAGTAACATCAAAAAGGAAGTGGGGAAAAGAAAGAGAGGGGCTTTCAGCTTTCAGCTCTTTTGCTCCCCTTCCATCAGGACTTCAAACAAATGATAATATTATCATCAGGGCTCATCTGACAGACACTCTTACCTACAGTCTCCAAGCTTGACTTTTTTCACAAGTGGTTGTCAAAAATAAAAGGTTGGTCACCAGAAGAAAAATAACACCTTTTGTAATGTAACATGACATACCAAGCTACTGACCATGCCTCCTGTCTTTAGAGTAAGCAGTACGGCTGGCATTTGTTCATTAGAGATTCATGTGACATCTCAGAGCTTAACACTCAGGAAACTGAAGATAAAGAGGCAAAGTTTTATAGATTTGAAGAACAAAAGTTAGCATAAATTAAGTTTCCTGAAAATGTTCATCTTAATCTTACTTCAGATCATAAAAACTAAAAGAGAAGAACTTAATCACCTCACTAAGGATAGCTGAATATAGGTCACCAAAATTGTTCTGCAAATGTTTTTACCAGAATTTTCCATTCTTATTTTGGGAACCCCAACTATTGCTAGCTAGGAATGATTATATTTCTCTCACAAACTCAATTACTGACAAACTAAATTGCATAACTGACAGGCAGTGACTGATTAAATACCCACAAAATTGTTTTATTTGAATTACACCAAAATGTTTCTGCAAATTTTCCTTCCAGAATTTTCCATTGTCGACTCTGGAACCAAAACTGTTGCTGCTGGAAGGGCTGGGAATGACTTTATTTCTCACACAAACTCATTTAATGACAAACTAAATTGTTTACTGAAGGGCACTGATGGATTAACTATCCATGAAATTGAAGGGCTGTATTTTTTTAAATACATGTTATTGAAACAGGCTGTTTTAAGTGGATTATACAATGACTGGCTTCCTTCCTAACCTCCACTGACCTAACCTATCCACTTAATAGAATGGCTTCAGTGTCTAAACCTTTGAAAACTATGTAAGGAAATCTTAATAGACAGAAAGCTAGATTGCATGATTATTGCACGCAGTAACCATGTTATTGACTGGTTGGCGCCGGCCTACCTGCCAGCTTGAGCTAACAAGCTAACTGAGCGATGGAATAACTGATTGGCTGGCTGGTAGTTTACTGTTTGGCTCACCAACTGACTGGCTGATTTGCAGGCTCAAAATAGCCCAATTGACATTATCAAAGTGTTTCATTGACAAGCCGACTTGCTCGATAATTGAATGACTGAGTGATTGGCTAAATGCTGACTGATTAAATGGCTGACTGGCAACTGACTGCCTGACAGGCTGACTGAGTGTTTTAGGCTGATGAACAATGCAATTTCACAAAGCTGGAAGGAAGTGAAAAAAATGATGGGTCGTGAATTTTTTTTCAGCTTTGGCCAAATCAAAATCTATGATATGGTAAGAGGCATGCATTGTTCACAGATGTAGTTGATTTGCACTGCATAGAGAAACATAATTGATAGTGTGTCGTCACTTCTCTTATGTCTCTAATGTTAGTTTTTTTGGAGGATTTTGAAAAGATTTGGAAATGCTCTATTATATTTTGTATGTTATAGGTCATTTTTAGGTTGTCACATTTGTGTTAGCTCTTCATTCTAGTGTTTCATCTTTTCTTTCCCTTTCTTCCTTTAAATGTTGTGACAAGATAGATATTTACCCAATTTCCTGTATTTCCTGTATTTCCTTTATGCAAGATTTTGAGTGAAGCGTTGGAGAAGTAAACGGGCCCAGCTCGGTTGCCACTGGTCAGGAAATGATCAGGTAAGAAAAACTGTCCTCAAAGGCAGAGAATTTCTCTGAGTCAGGAAAAGTTCATATATTTGACAGAAGTTAGGGAAAGGTGAAATCTAGACTTGATATGAACTCGTTCATCTTGTCTTACCCTTTTCACGAGGAAAGATGCTTGATTTTTTGTGGTGTTGATGTTGTACAGTTCTATGGTTCCTGACTTGTGAAGCATATCGCTTCCCCTTATAATGCAATCTGAAGCTGGTTTGTGCCATGAAGTCATACATTTTTCCTTCTGATTTCACTTTTTTAAGACATGAAATGTATTGGTTGGTTGAGAACTTTTCAATGAATTTAAAGGAACACCTTCTGTGTGCTTTCCAAGAAATTCAGTTCTTTTTCCCATGTTACGTTAAGGAACTATCAATTCAAGTAGTACAATACATGACTTACTAATGGCGTACATTAAAAGTGAAATTATACGTTCAGTTGCTTGGGGAAATACATGTTCAATTCCTGCTGTCTTTTTCACTTCAGATACTGCATGGATTACACGTTGAGAAAGAAGGTCCAGGAAGAAAGGAATACAACAAGTCATGGTTAGTGTAACTGGGTTTTTTTATTGTTGAACCCCCATGTGTTAAAATCTGTATATTTTTTGTTCAAGTTGTTATCGTCGGAAAATTTTCACCGGTGAATGTTCTCGCTGTCGCAGGGCAATCAGTGGTTCCTAACTAGAACCAGAAATGCCAAACTCTTCAGAAGGGACCTAAATCAGCCTGGACGATGTCAATTAAAAAATTAATTTGTAATCTCAGTTTGAATTTTGCGAATGACTGGATGTGCCTACTGTCTCTTACGGTGTCACACCTCAACTCTAGCATAACATATGTGAGCAGTGGTTTAGTTCTAAAAGGAGACTTAAAAAATTTTCTGTCGATCTCAGACCGCGTTGTTATTTTGCTGAAGACGGCTAAGATATGTACAAAGTTTTAAAACGAACGTGCGGAGCTTTTTTTTTTGTACTCGTTAGATCTTTTGTTTTGCCATGTCCTCGTTGCCGTGGTGGTTTACTTAGGGTCCTTATTACCTCTCGATTTCTTTCCCTCTTCCAGGTGTTGCAAGGATTACAAGTTTATAAGGTCAAGGGAGAGAAAAACACTCTTCATTTTGGTGAGTATAATTGATGTGATATGGTTGAACCTTTAGACCTGAGACCAAGGTAATTCTAAGTAAGGGTCAATAATCGAAAATTTTGCGTATTTTTTCAGTGTTATTCGGTACTTACTTAATTTTAACGAGAACCAGAAGTGTTAAGTTGTTGAAACTGTTATTTATTTACGTATTTCTCGATTACTTATTTGTTTCAGATACCTAAAAACTACAAGCTTAAAAAGAAGGTCAAGGTGGACTGAGTAATGTCTATGTATCGTCAAAAGTCTGGAAGTTTAACTCGTTTCCAATTTTTCTTTGTCAGGGAACACTTCTAAAAATTGTAATTATTAGTTTGAGGAAGTAGCCATATTTTTAGTTCAGACCGCTACTACGGTTTGTTAAGATTGACAGAGTAAGCCTTTTGAAAGTCGTATTTGCTGTACTTTGCATACGAACTGATAGTTTAATCTTTATTAGATACTTAATAAAGACACTTAAGTTTTGTGTGATGATTTTATTCTCCAGAAGACGATGCTGATATTGACCATCTTAAGGTTGATACTTCTTCCTTGAAGGTCTCTCTATCTTACTATATAGGTGTAACAAAAATCACCATCTCAAGCAAGACCAAGGAAAAATGTTATCTTTGGAATGAATGAAAAATTGGGGGGTCGATCCGCCACCGTCCCCCACCACACCCACCTCTTAAAGACAGTTGTTTTGTAATTTGAGACAAGTTCATAATTATGGTAACCTACATCTTTTAATACTCATGCGTGTTGTAAGACGCATGCTTATTAGGATATATCATACCACAATGTTAAACTAGTCTCAAATTACAAACCAACTGTCTGTAAGAGGTGGGTGTGGTGGGGGACGGTGGCGGATCGTCCCCCAATTTTTCGTTCATTCCGGAGATAGGACCACGTTCACGGGGGATTTTAGACACCCGATTTCGACTTCTTTTCAAGGTCGAAGTTTTTCTTTGGCTTCTTTCGTGAAGGGGGTAGAGATACCTGCGATGTCAATAGAAATAACACAATTACCAACTTAAATAACATGACCAGCGAGGGCTTCATATGAGACTTGCCAATTTTTCACTCTATCACACCAGTTATACTCACCAGATTTGCAAGTATCGTGGACTCTCTCTCCACCACCAATTTCTGCTTTCCTTCCATGGTTGATATATTTACTTGGTGTCTTGCTTGAGATGGTCTGTCCCTCTGACATCTACTGATAGAGAAAGAACAAGTTACGAGCTAGGATATGAATGCGTACAGCAGACAACGAAACAGTACCCCAAAGATGGGATCATTTAAACTTTGTCGTTAAGTATAACACGACTGCTAATTGCGGATGCTCAGATGACGGACGCACACGGTAAAATCCCCACTTTTTTAAGGTGGTAATTTTTCTTGAGATGGCCATTGGTAATTAGCGGTTTCTGGCATTGATGAATGTCTCATCGTCTCTGGTCATAACTGAAACTGAAACTATTTGTCACTGACGCTAGAGTAAAGTTTTTGAGGCGATTGCTCGTTTTTGACGTTAAGTCATTTGACTTTTTACTGCATTTTTACTATAGATTGATTCAATCTTAACCCCATTCTTTGCTCCTTAACCCAACGCCCTAACCTTACGCCATATGTTCAAAATAAACAATTCTGAAAACATGGAGGGCAAAAACTTACATTTTCTCTACATCCTTAACCCTCTTAAGAGAAAGCCAACTCTATGGGTCCAACGGAAAAAAAAAAGTTGGAGATCTATTGATCACGGATGAGGAAACTCTACACTGTTAAGAAAACGAAAAGAAAAAAAACATGAAAAAATTCCTCTTAAGAAACGAGTATATTTTTTACTGTCTGTTTGCATGAGATTGATTCAATCTTAAACCGATTCTTTGCTCCTTAATTCAAAGCCCAAACCTCACTCCCTATTTTCAAAGTAAACAATCCTCGATTTGATTTTCTACCGCATGTTTGCAATTGATTGATTCGATTTCAAGCTCAACTCATTAAAGCGTGAAACAGCAGCAGCACTTGAGGTACTATAAACACTAGGCAACGAAAGCTGCTTTTCCCAGAATGAGATTTTTGGTTGAAGGAAACTTCTCTATGGGTCGGCTATTAATCACCCATCTCTTATACACCAAGACTGAGGAAGAGAATCTATGGGTGAGGCCAACTCCACTGCGGGTCAGCTGTTAGTTACCCATCTCTTGTACACAGTTAAAGATCCGATCAGCACAGCGAGACAATCCAGTTTCCGAAAAAGTTTCCACACTCTTCTCTTTATTTTTTGGTGGATCAGGTCTAAGCATCCTAGATCAAGACTGTGGAAGAGACTTTATGGGTGAAGCTGAATCCATTGCAGGTCAGTCATTAGTTACCCATCTCTTATACACAGTTCAGGATCCGATCAGCACAGCAGGACAGTCCAGTTTCCCAAATAGTTTTCACACTCTTCTCTGTGTTTTTCGGTGGACCAAGTCTGATAGCATCCCAGATCAAGACTGTGGAAGAGACTTAATGGATGAAGCCGACTCCATTGCTAGTCAGCCATTAGTCATCCACCTCTTGTACACAGTTCAAGATCCGATCAGCACAACAAGACGGTCCAGTTTCGGAAACAGTTTTCACACTCTTCTCTTTGCATTTTGGTGAGCCAAGTCTTAGCATCGCAGATTAAGACTTAAAAAGAGACTTCATGGGTGAAGCCAAGATAGCTATTTGTCACCCATCTCTTGTGCACAGTTCAAGCTCAGTTCAGCGCTGCATGACAGTCAAATTTCCCCCTAAGTTCTCACACCCATCTCTAGTACACCATTCAATATCCTTTGAGCGCAGCAAAACAGTCCAGTTCCCAAAACAGATTTCTTCTCTGTGTTTTTTGGTGACCAAGTCTTAAGACCCCAGACTGAGGAAGAGAATCTATTGGTGAAACCAAGACAGCCATTAGTCACCCATCTCTTGAGCACAATTCAAAATCCGTTCAGCGTAGTTTCCTCTCTGTTTTTTGGTGGCCTAAGTATTAGGATCCCAGATCAAGACTGGGTAAGAGACTTAATGAGTAAAGCTGACTCCAGTGCGGGTCAGTGAGAAGTCACCCACCTCTAATACACAGTTCAAGATCCATTCAGCAAAGCAAGACGGCCTAGTCTCAAAAACAGCTGTAACTTTCTTTACTTTAATTTTTTTATTTTTTTTTATTGTCGACCAGGTCTTTGAATCCCAGATCAAAACTTACACCAGCGAGACAAGAATTGAGTATTTAAATAGGTAATGAAATTATTTCAAGCGCAACTTTGACTTAATAAGCAATTTGGTTTGAGTTAGCAAGGGTTTGAATTATCAGGATTAAACTGTGTATGTAACTTCACAGGAGACATGGTGATAAACGTGTATCCATAGGGAGGTACAACACGCCACAAGATTCTGTTAGAGCTTATAGCAAACTTCATGAGCAGTTTCTTTTGGATTTTAAAGCAGTTACTAGTGCCAGTTGGCAAAATGTCATAATTTTCAGTACCTTTTCATTTTGTCTTTGCCTTTTAACCCTATGGTTTGCCACTTGTTATCCAGCTTCATACATCAACCACTCTCGTCCAAGTCTACATTGTAGATTCTCTACTTTCCATGAAGACTTGTCCACAGGCATTTATCAAGGCTTGCTACGACTGTACACTGTATCAAGGCTTATCCATAGGTTGGAACCAAGGCTTGTTCACAACAGATCTCCACTGATAATCTATCAATTAAATAAAAAGTGGCAAATGAGTAAAGTACATTGCATCATGTGAATACTGCCAAAACCCAAGAACTAACTAAATTCATTTATCATTATGGAAAGACCTTGATATGATGCACACTGTGATTAGTTTTTGCTCATGATCTACACTGTATCCAAGTTCAGAAGCATTTTGCATATCATTCCCAAATTGTGATCATTAGTTTGCCAAACATGACACAGTTTGCAAAATAATTTCAAGATTTTTTCAGATTTAGCCTGTAAAGATGAGGGAAAAAATTAGCTGGGAGCTGTTTGTGAACAGGAAAAAGGGAGTGAGTTCAAAGCAACTTGAAAGTCGATAGGCATGATTATTTAAAGGAGAGTTAGTTTTTCTTTACTTTGCTTTTCTATTAATGAAGGAGACAACTAGATATCATTTTAATTTGGTTTTAGCAACTGAGTTCACAATATCAATTGGCCACAGTGAAAAGAGGTTAAAGCTGTTGTTTTGATAGTTAGCCTTTCGTCAGAGCTCTGATGAAGGGCTGATGCTTGAAACTCTTTATGAAGGCCAATTTATGTGGTCATAAACTCTGTTGAGAAACTCAAATTATATTTTAATAGTTCTTTAGAAACTTACCCCTTCAGTTTATACATTTCATTGTGCCATTAGATATCTCTATTTAATCATAGCCATTACAATTTCATCAAATGTGATCGGTGCATCAGCTGCTTCATTTTCTGTACAGTTGTAATTGGACAGTGTAATCGAACAGTTGGCTGTAATCAGACACCTGTAATCAGACAGTTGTCAGCCAATCATACTAAGTCCACTCAGCTGAATCCACCAATCACAGAATTGATCACAATAACCATAGCAACAACCACTTATACAAAGAAAAAAAAGGCAATTTCCAAAATGAAGGAACATTCAACTCAATACATTGTCTCCACTGGAGATATTTGTCCTAGGTGTATTTGTTTTTTTGGAAATTGAAATGGTTATGATTAATTGGTAACAGAATTTCTTGTGGTCCAATTCTGTCAGTAATCATACTCGTGATAAACAAATTGGACTCCCACTTCGCAGTCGTCTGATTTTGTTAATCACTTGTTTGATTATAGACCGAATTGGACTCCACTCGGTCCTATTACCATTATTAATCAAAGACCATAGAAGTCAACAAAACATGGTAAGATTCAATAGAAAAGAGAAATTTTTGGCAAGTTTATATTTTTCCTCTTAATCAAAGAAGACAGCTGTATTTCATTTTGCCATGTATCTGTATATTTACAGACTACAAAAGGCACAGTAATGCATCATTTGCCACTTTTTCATTTTGATCAAATATTTGTCCATACAATACTGTTAACTTTCTGGGTTTGAATTATTTCAAACTATTATAATTACATACTACTAGGTCATGATAGAAAAAAATTTCAGAGTAGAATAAAAAGATGTTAAGTTAATCCCAATTCAACTGACTTTGAATATGAAAAAACTTTGATTATGAAATTTAGAACACATTCATGGGGGATTTGTCTTATCGTGTCCCTCCTCTCTGAAGGGATGTGATCTCAAACTTACACTGGGGAATTTTTTTTAGCCAGAAGTCAGTATCTTCATGTATTATGCACCATGCACCAGTCAGCAGTCAATCAGCCAGACAGTCAGTCTTCATTCAGATGGTTAGTCAACCAGCTTGCAGTTAGTCAGTCAGTGAGCCCACTGGCTTGTGGTCAGTCTGTTAGCCAGTTTGTTGGTGTGTCAGACAATCAGTCACTAAACCAAAACATCTTCCAGATATTAGCCTATGTCAGTCAATCAGCTTGCAGTCAGTAAATCAGTGAGCCTACCAGCTTGCTGTCAGTCTGTCAATCAGTCGGTCAGCATGTTGGTCTGCAAGTTAATCACTTGACTCAGTCAAAACATATACCAAATGTCAGTCTGTGTCAGCCAACCAGCTTGCAGTCAGTCAGTTGGCCAACCCTTTATCTAAAACAGTCTAGCCTCCGTCCATTATCTAGCTCAACAGCCTCCGGCTAATCAGCTTACCATCCATCAATCAGCTAGCTCTCAATCAATTAGTCAATCTGTGAGCCTAAAAGTAGTGAGCATGTCTATCAGCCAGCCAGTCACCCAGCAGTCATTCAAAGAGTAAGCCAACCCACTGGCTCAGAATCAGTAAGTCAGTCAGCCAGACAGCCTGCTCATTGATTCTGCTGGCCAACAGTCAGTAGAACAGTCAGCCAGTAAGTAGCAAGCCAGTCATTCATTTAGCCAAGCTATACCCAGTCCATCACTCAGTCGGTCAATTAGCTCACAAGTTATTAATCAGTTAAGTTGTAATTTTCCTCAAAACAGAATCTTCTTATGTAATTTCAAGCATTAAAGTTTGCCATAAGTAAACTGAGCTTCTTTGGAAATATTTGCAAAATGACAGAACATGCATGAACTCAGCTGGGTTTTACAAGTAAATAGAGTAGAAACCACTAAGCAACTAACAACATATACATTTTTAGAAGTCTGGAAAAATAGGCACCTGTCTTTTTTTTGGATAATGAGTAGATTCTTGATTAAATTCTTGATTCTATGAAGAAAATATAGTTGCAAATTGCTAGTAAAATGAATTAACTTTGGTTTGATTCTTAAAGACCTGACCAGTACATTTTCTCAGTTGTTAAATGATAGGTACTGGAAAATTAAATTGATCACAGAGTGTGTATTGTATTCTCTACATAACAGAGAAGCAGATCACGTGCACTATAAGTAGTGTCTACCAATATTTCAGTTCTCTCAGTGACTACTGTGCTCTGAAAGATTTCCTCTTCCATGATTGGTTGCTGGACAGATGCAAGACATAAACAACTCTATTTGATCTATTTGTTGTAAAACTGTTCCCACAAAAACATGGGGATTCATGCAAATTTGCAATGGACACTTATCAAGAAGATTGTACAGACAAGAAACTGTAAGAAAACCATTCACGGCACTTGAAGACATTTATTAAACTTTCATTAACTTTCAAATAATTTTATTCTATTTTGTTGTAAAGTGACTTGGCTGTCACTGAAATAATTTATAAGTGAAGTATTGATATGCTTTGACAAACCCTCAATCGACTGTCAACTGGCTATCGACCAATAGTCAACTAATACTCTGTGACAAATCAATGTAGTATCGACATTTTTCAATCAAAAAATTGAACAACTTTCGACTGATATATATAGAGTGACCATTGATGCATAACTGAGTGACTGTCGACCAACTATCAATCAATTGTAGACTGACTATGGACTGATATGTGGTGCTTTCAATAAGATTTAAAATAGGTGGCTATCTCAGTAAAGCACCCACCAGAAAATGATATGAAAAATAACTTCCCTCTCATTAGCCCATTAGTTCCATTCCAGACAGAATTTTCAGTGTTAACCTTTGGTAAATGATCATTTAACATTGGTCTCCTATCTAACAGTTATTTAACTAATAGTTTTATTTCTAATTAAAATCTTCCATTTGCTGACATGTGAACTTGCTGCAGGATTTTTTTTCTACTAAAGTCCTCTTTAAAGAAATATGGTTACTGGTAACCAAAATTTGAGTGAGTATTTTCTTGAAACTCAAAATCTTCATTTTTTTTGGTGGGAAATCATTTTTATCAAAACTTGTTTATAAAGGTAAAATTTGGCTGAAAGAACTCTAAAAGATCTCCAGGTGTTTGCTTGAAAGCTCCCAAAAAGTCACAGAAAGATCCAGAATTATGGTAACCATCCAACATTCTATGATACTGAACACTTTAAAAAGGCAGTCTACAAAAACAACACTAGATAATAACTATATTGTGTGTATCAAATTTCAGTATGCACATTTTCTCAAATTTTGATGCTACAATCCAAACCCTTCTTTGCCTGGCCATTGGATTCCATTTGTATATCACCCATTGACTCTCAGTTGCTTAAAATATTTCCATGATTGCAATGCCGTGACCTTCATTAACAGAGTCTTCTTCTGCTTGTAAGTTTAAACAAACCGTTCACAACAGAATACTGGCCGAAGCTTTGATAGGTGCCAGGTCTTATTGAAAGCACTGGATATGTCAACCACTATATCTACTCCCTACATCAACCACTACATCAACCCAACACTACCTATAGTACACATGATCCAAAGAACCTAACTGATACCCCATTTTTCAATTGGTTCTGTCATTATACTGGAAGGTGGAATGTACACAAAGAATTTACTGCTAATGAACCTATATTCTACAATTTGTTACCTGAGTTGCTTGGGATAATCATCCAGAGGTATGCAAAAATGCAGTTTAACCCTTCAACTTCCAGATCTGATAATCAATTCTCCCCTATGGCTACTACATATTTCCTTTTAAATTAGTTACAAGAATTTGGTGTTTGATCAAGTTGATATGTTTGAGTATTTTCATTACCTGTTTGCTGGATAATGTATGGATATTGCAGGGAGAAGGTCAATCACTTCTGGGAGTTAATGGATTAAGGTTTATAGACTCGAAGAAAAGTTTAGTTAAGAGTAAGTTTATTTTTGTTTAATATAGTTTCATCTTTCAAATAAACCGTTCATTAGGGTGGCATGAGGAAACAGGTTCTTAATCATGATCTATTGGAAGACATCAAACAAATAAATAAACAAATTCCATGTTGCCATGCATCTGTTCAGGAACACATAATTAAAGACATGTCCTGTGATCAGTTACTTACCAGACACATAGCATTATAAAATATGTCTATTTATAAAGAGTTTATTTATCAAAATTGAACTGTAAACTGCTTGATTGTTCTTGGCTGGACATGTTCTTAAATATTTTGGTATTAAAATGACCACCTTCTGTCACAGTTCTTACATGTAGATTTTATCTGTTTGAATTTCCCGCAAAATATTTTGAGCTATGCCTATAGAATGTCCGACCAGATCACCGGCTAAGCTCGCAACAAAAAGAAGAGGAAGGAGAAATAATTTGAAACAATACGTTGGTCAAGCCGTTTTTCTTTAGGTTTTCATTCCTTACCTCAAGCAGTTGATCAAGACATGCAGCTGAGAAATCACATGCGGTCTCCACCTCAGGGTTGTTCGGCCTATGTGACATCTCTCTTCCATCCAAACACCATCAAACAAGAGACACCGTGTACTGATGACAGACAATTTATGTTCATAGCTCCTTTGTGTCCTGTTTCTGGCAACAGCCAGGTCAGTTCATGATACAGCACAGTATTTACGCTGCCATATTTGATACTAGTTTCCAGTCTTTTTCGTTAAACGAAAGTACGTCACGCCACACACGAGATTGGAACGTTGAAGAAATGCCTCCTTTTTTTTCTTCAGATTTTATAAATTGTACATATCTTTATTCCCCAGGGCCTCTATGGATACCAGCCTCGTTGATGGGTTAACCTGGTTGAAAGTCACTTACTTACTTACTCCTGCTCAACTCAATGAAATGCTCTGCGATTTCGCTCTCAGTGTCAGAGCCAAAGATGGAAATGACTACGAGGGATGATTGCTGGCTTTAAACAATATCTCAAAGGCAAAAACTTTTAAGCTAGTATCATCAACGATTTAGCGTTTGAGAAAATAACAAAAACAAAAAGTATATAGTTGTCAACAGACTGCTGAATCATCCGTCATACACGTCTTTTTAATTTTTGTCTGTATCTTTACATCTAGTTTTTGGTCTAAAGAGAGACAATTCATAATTTGCGATATGGTGCATGCGTATCTTCGTCCGCAAGAAACTCTGAGGACTTGATAAAAGTGTGCCGGCAGAGGTCTGGGAGGGGCCTGGTAACAATTCAGTTATTCATATTCTTATACGTGTAGAGTAATTTAGTGATATCAATTGACTTGAAAACGTAAATTGGCCACCGTAAAGAGTTTAAGGGCTGACGTTTCGAGCGTTAGCTCTTCGCCAATCGCCAATCTCTCTAACATTGGACTAACGCTCGAAACATCAGCCTTTAAACTCTTTACGGTGGCCAATTTACGTTTTCAACTCAGTTGATATCACTAAATTACACTGTTATACTCTCCCACCGACGCAGTACCATAGTTTCTTTTGAAACTTACCACCTTCATTTATATTCTTACACAGACTGACTGACACCCTTGGTTAGAGTAGATTTTAAATGTTAAGCTATCACCGCCAACCCAAGGTATATATCAACCCGGGGTTGTTTAAGGAAGCCGTTAAAGAACTTTTTTTGGCCCATAGAGAAAAATGTAAACTCTTGGCGTGGGTTGAAAGACAAATCCTGAATTTCCCATGGGAACTCACGCCTCGAATCTTCTAATTTCACGGTCCAATTCGCTATTAATTGATCAAGAGCTGGGTCGACAGAAAAACTCGTCAGCAAGCCAGGCTATGTGGACGAGCATACATACATAATGAGACTCGAACACGTCTCCGGGATTTGCCAGAAGCGGCGAAATCAACAGGATTTGATAGTTGATGCCACGACAACTACATGAATAACGAACACCACAGATTGGACTTTGAACCATGCAATGTTTAAGTACTTCTTTGTCAATACACTTCTCTTTTGTTTCATTGAATGCAGTGTTCTACGCGATGAAAAAGCCTAATTTTCATCAACTTGTTTGTACTCAGACTGTTCAAACAAATAAAACGTTGGTATTAAAAACAACTGGAGATCAGTTAAGCTCTGAAATGAGTGGCCTTACTTTACTATATTCAACTTTCGCCGGCGTCAATTAGCAGAGCACGAGAACAATTGAATAGGTAATAAATTATTCACATTCTGACATTCCCAATGGTGAATTTTGTTGATGAAAAGACACACAATAGAAGACAGAGAAAGCTCTGACTGTGCGATTAATTTCAGTCGATGGTGCCTATTCTCTTCGTTTTATGTCTAAAAATGCATCGCGCATATTAAAAGAAACTCAGCCGGAAGGACAGACCTTGAATCTTTATGGGTACAATTAATTTGAGCTGTATCATCATATGATCATTTGCAGTTCGAGCATGCATGTTATTTGCAGGGAAACCGAAATAAATTTGTTCTTAAAAAATTTGCAGTAAGCCTTACAATGGGTACTAATGAATAAAGGAAAGAGCTATTCATATGTATTAGACAGTTTTGTTTTCATTTTAATCCTCAGAACAATCCAGCAAGCCCAACCCAGAAACATCACTACTCAGTGCATAGCAACGTTTAGAGAGACCTCTTAGAAGTTTACTCGAAGGAGTATCACTTTTTGATCGTCGTATTTGACCCAGTTGACAGAAGTCAGTTTGTAATCATGAATACCAAACTGGTACTCTTCCTGGTAGTTGCTTCATGTGTGCTTTTCACCGATGCTCGCAGTATATCGCGCCAGAATGCCGACGCAGTCGAGGGCAATTTACGCAAGGGTGTCCGAAATGACGACGCTAATAGGGGAGAGTACCCGGCTAAAAAGGGTAAGCCACTCATGACATTCAATGTTGACTGAACGATTGGAAACTTAACATGTAATCGTGTCATATTCTTGAATAAGATCAGAGAGACTGGCAATTTCGAATTGAAATTTTTGATATAAAAGAATGCGTTGAGGGAACTTTTTGCTGTACTCAAATCCATGCAAAAAGTTGAGCCAAGAATATGCTTATGGGTGAATCTTATCAATGGCGCCGATAGAGGAAGCATATGATGAGCGCGCACGATTCTCGTAGAATGTTATATTGAAAAGTTTCTCAAGGTAGTAGCTTATTTGGCATAAGTCAAACGGAGGAGGCGTTGGCTACAAGCCTTCGCAAATTAGCCGTTATAGTAGGGTTTTGCCTGTTCGCTAGAGCATTTCAAAGGGTTCAAGAAGCCTTTTTTTCCTGGTCTTTTTTCAGCAGGGGGAGGGGGGATAAAAAGCAGTGAATTATGGATTACGAACAACGGAGATAAGTTTCTGGACAAACTTTGTTGCTGCTTCCGTTCAGGGTATTGAAAGATAATTTGCTTTTATTATCTGAGTTGATTATGTAAATTGGCCACCGTAAAGAATTTTTAAAGCTGGCGTTTCTAGTTCTGACGAAGGACTAACGCTTGAAATGTCAGCTCAAGAAAGTCTTTACGGTGGTCAGTTAACATGATCAACTCAGTTAATAAAACCAAGTCGTCCATGGATTATGGCACTTTACCCACGAGAATCACCTTTTCGTGTTTAGTTTTTAAAAGAACCTCTAAAGGTAAACACCAAATCTGAGGAAACACTTTATGGTTAAACTTAAGGAGAGGGAAAAAGTTCTTGACGGTGGCAAAAAAACAGGCAACATCGACAGTCCTCCTAATTCCAACCCTTTACTTTGACAGTGTTCTTGTGTAGATGTAGAAATATGACATTCAGGGAAAATCACCGATGCATAAAATGCGAAGGGCTTTGTTTAGCGCGATTAAGCATTTCGCTTAGTTTGCATTGTAATATAACTGCTTCTTGATGCCTGCATGACTTCTTGTAAATTGATGAAAACGAGATGAAAAGATTTTCACTTGGTTAAAATTGAAACCAATCACCCCTAAACAATTCTGTTTGACCAATATTCCACAGCGGAAGCTATTCGAGATTCTCTAAAGGAATTGCACCTATTTGTTTGTCTTATATAACTTCTGAAAAAAATCAAATGTATTCCTTCTACGTAAAAAAGCTTATAGTTTAACCTCATGTTTCTTCCACCAATCCCAGCCTTCCTTCTCTTCTTTTGAATGAAGTAAAAGGCAGCATTCAATTGTGGTGAAGATTAAAAGTTAATTTTACCTTTTGCCGTGAATGTTTCAGATGAATCCACTGGAGCCGATACTCAGGATGGCATGGTAATAGCTCGCACTATAATTCATAGGATGAGATCCACAAAGAACAAAGTTGAACAGACAGCTCCTAACTTTTCGTTGACAGTTCGTGGTATTTTGGATAAAGCAACAAGCAGCATAAGCTCGGCATCTAACAAGGCGAAGGAAACAGCGAATAAAGCGAAAGCCAAAGTTGAAGAGTTAGGCAAGAAAGCGAAAGGTAAAGATGACGTACATAGTTTTCATGCATTTTTGAGCTCTACTTCCGCTGCTCGTACATTTTGTTACAATCCGTTCTGAATCTTGTTTAGGAGCTATTGAAGAAGGAAAAAAAAAGGTGGGTTCCATCACAGGAAAAAGAAAATTCGTCGACACTTTGTTGACAGCTCGTGGTATTTTGGATAAAGCAAAAAGCAGCTTAAGCTCAGCATCTAACAAGGCGAAGGAAACAGCGAATAAAGCGAAAGCTAAAGTTGAAGAATTAGGCGAGAAGGCGAAAGGTAAAGATGATGAAAATGGTTTTCATGCATTTCTATGATCTACTTTCGCTGCTCATACATTTTGTTACAATCCGTTCTGAATCTTGTTTAGGAGCTATTGAAGAAGGAAAAAAAAAGGTGGGTTCCATCACAGGAAAAAGAGAATTCGAGGCATTCTTGGAAACAAGTATGGGAACGCGGGAAGGTAAAGAGACTTGACCAAAGGTTCTGAGCTTATCCTCGCTTCCAGAGTCCTCGTTTCTTTCGGTCATGAGATTGGAGAAACGAGCGTACCCATTAGTGAAAACGAGCAGCTCTGGGAACGAAATTGTTCTGAACCTGTGTAAATTTAGCAACCTGCGCATGCGATGTGATAAAGAAGATGGAAACATAAGACGGGGCAATGTTAACGGAAAAGCCCATATTCTGCAACTGAAAAATAGACTAGAAACTGTTATTGGAGGTCTTTTTTTTATTTGTCACATCTTACTCGCCACTAATTGAGACCTAAAGCGGAGGCGCCCTGATACTTTCACACCTGAAAGATGTTCATCGCCTTCGACAACACAATATTACTACTCACTTTTCCTTGTTAGTCGCCTTCTATGCTACGAATTTACCCCCTTTTTTTGCCCTTTATTCGATTCCTTTTTCATTTTTCCCCCTCGAACAGATTTAATGGGAAACGTTTCAGCGGGGAAGGATTAAAAGTTTGTTTTTCCTTTTGTCTCCTTGTTTCAGATTAAGCCAGTGGAACAGATTCTCAAGACGAAATGCCAGATAGACCGAGAAAGAGGGTTGAGACTAGCAAATAGTTGACACCCTGTGTCTGTTTTTTAAATCTCTAATTATATTTGCACTTAAGCACCGAGTTTCCCATGAGTTATACGACGTGGCCCAGAATATAACTGAAAATCTCACTTTGGTAATTCCTAAATTCAAGTTTATTGTTGTACACATTCATTAACCCTTTCATTCCAAGACATGACCAACCTAGTTTCTCTTCAACATATCATTTTCAAGCAGGACTGTAATGGAAAGAATGCAAATCATCAGTCATAAGGTGTAATTTGATTAAGCAACAAATTATCAGCGCTAAAAGTTACAATGGTAGAAGGTAAAAACAGTCATCTTGATCCTAGAAGTAAACAGGGTTAAGAAAGAACAAGTGAACCTAACATTCAACCCCAATTGCTATCTTTCCTCCGTATCTATATCTCAATTTTTTTTACCAATAAATGGTATCGATATATCTCTTTTAACAGCTTGATTGCTTGTATTTATGTGTGCATATGAAACCTCAGTTCGTCAATAATATTTTAAGAGCACAAGGGGCTTGTGGGTTCAGGTAACTTAACGGGCCTGTAAAGCTGTTCTGTTTTCCTTTAAGATAGAGGCTTCAAAAGGTTTGAAAATTCCACAATAAAGGTCTTAGGTAACGAAAGAAAATGGGCTGGTTGAGGTGCCAAAACCCTCCTCTCTAATTTTTAAATTTTGATTCGAAAAAAAAAATGGCTTTGGGCGCGTCAAGTTACCTGGACTGATTCGAGAAACGGGTTGCAACGCAGTTGATTCACATTCTCATTTGTGTCGATGACTCAGAGTAATCCTAGTTTTTAGATGTAGCCCGTTCTGCAGTTATGGAATAGTCTTTGTTCGAATCAGGGCCCCACGTGAAGATACTCTTCGTTACACGCACCAAGAAAATTGTAGCCATTCCCTTGAACCGCAATTGCTTTGCTGTTCAAACAGATTAGATTCACAGTCGTTACACCAACTTCTATGCAAGGAGAGCATCGCCCTTTGTGGAACACTTGTTCAGTTGAACTCGAACCGCAGAAATAAATACACCTTATTCGACGGTTTAACATCCAATACGTACGGAGGTGAAGCGAAATGTCTGCTTGTCTTTAAAGTCAAACCACTGAATGAGGGATTTATTTCTCTGTTTTTATTTCATTTTCTGGTATTTTGCCTTCTAGTTTTCGAAATACTTCCAACTACTTTATATAGGCCAACACTTTTACATGGGGGTCATATCGATTGAATAAAGTGTGCGTCAAAGACAAAATCAACAGAAGCGAAACCATTATAGCGTTTTTTATGACCAACGGAAAATCGGAGGCGCTTAAAGCTCGTTTCTTCAAAAGTCAAGCTTAAAAGAACGGAGAGAAAGAACCATAGTTTGGGTTGTACCTTTCATAAAGATTGTTCAGTTCCAATTAGCAAACTGGGATTTATCTTATCAAGTCTTAAAAATGGAAGATAGGCATGGTCGATAATCGATAAGGAGTGCAAATGAAAAACTTGAAAATGTGGCCTCACCTTTATCAATGGTGACAAGGCCGAAAAGGAAAATGAAAGGTTTGAAATGTCACAGTACACTGATCCACTTTCTTTTTGGGTCTCTTTAGAAAATTTCTAAAAGAAATTGAAGCCATTGGCTAAATTCGTTTTATCTATCATCGGGTGATGTCTATACAAAAGTATGCAACGAGTCAGCGCGTGGTGTATTTGATTGCAAGAGACCGGAAAATAAGTTCCAATTCCAAATGGATGTTGTTGTCATCACGTCAGCTGAAACGTGACGCCTTAAAGTGAGACGTCAAAATAGACTCAGCAGCAATTTAGTGTCGACGTCCTGAAATTACAGAGTTCCGATCTTGGCGCAATATAGCTATAATTTGCAATATTTTTGAAAGATTTCGATTGGAGAAGGAATCATGCGAGTAGTCTACCAACTGCTGTTGTGGGTATTTGTTTTCTGCCGTTACACAACACAAGAAGGTAAGAAGACATGTTTCTGCTCTTCAACGCAGCATCTGATAAATGCAAGCCGATCGGTGCACTTCTCTCTCGATATTTTAACTGCTTCTGTGATTCCTTTTAATACATTGAGTCTTATGATGCGGTATATTCTGACGTGTCTAAACCGTTCAATGGTTGTTTATCGATACGTGCGTATAAATAGCGTGCATGGACACATGTTTAGCTTTTTAGTTAAGGAGAGCATGATTTTAACATTTCGTAGAGAACTTAAATCGATGGACGTATCCTTTTCTGATAAAGATTTGTAGAACTCTAAAGGGACTTGAAAAAGAGGGAAAACTGGAAAGAAGACTGATATAATAATCAAATGAAATTAAGTGTGACTGAAGCTAAGCTGAAGAGAAATTTTCTAGACTTCCCTTAGCCTAAGTAAGGGGATACTTGCCAAAAATGTCACGCTGTTGTTATTTAACTGACATCATGTGAAAATTAAATCTTATGAAATCGGTGTAATAACGTCATTATTTCGGTCTCTAGTTGAAAATCAGAAGGGTTAGTTAGAAGGGTTTGATGATTTCGAAATGTACCCTCTTTACCAGCTGGGAAGAACTGTTGTTCCGAACCATCAAAAGCAAGAATTGTTAGCGCTACTTGCAACTGTCGGTGCTCTGTAAATTTACAGATGCTGCTCACTTTAACCTTTAGGCACACTTGCTCTTGTTCTTCTCCTTGCTCTTCTTATGAAAAACCTATCTTGTGTCGAGTGTATGAGTACTCCCAGGGAAAGGATTTTTGGAGATCTGCGGAAGCCTATCAAGGAAAACTTTGAACGGCCGAATTAGCATCTTATCACATGAGAAATCCAATCGTAAATGAGTCGCTGTTTCAGCATTTTAGTGATGAGCTGAGTTCTGAATGTATTGTGAATATTTCCGCCTGTGGATAATCCAATTCTGTCGAAATTTGCGAGGCACGTAGTGATTAATTTTACATCTAAACCAGACTTAATTCTTAAATCGAGTTACCTTTACGTCAAAACCAGTTGTTTCCTTTTTTGAGAGATGTTAAGATTTTAAATTTTTGAATGAAGGCTTCATGAGAACCTTGGGGCCTAATTTATCACTTTCGCATCTCCCACAATACATTCTGCTGCTGCACCATTTTCATGTTTCTAATTTCCCTTGCGACAACTGCGCGTGCCCAGAGATATAAAAAGTCCTGACCAGTGGCGGCTATGATTGGAGAAGTGTAAGAGGCGGATGTACCGCGGTTAAAAATCACAATATCACATGTTTTAATTTATCGACACTTTAGCAAAAAGCTGCCGCGATGACCTTGGAATGAAAAGTAAAGGAATACCAGACGAGAGTATTGCAGCATCGTCTTCAAAAAGTGCAGATAACTCCCCACAGTTTGCACGTTTGGACGGAAAAAAGGCCTGGTGCTCTGCGCCAACGGACAAAGAGCCATACATACAAATCAATCTGGTCGAGCCAAAGTCAATAACTGGCATAACGACTCAAGGAAGCTTTTCTGATTGGGCGTGGGTGACAAAATATGAAGTCAAGTATTTAGAAAAAGGAACTTGGAAACACTACGATGAGGTGCCTGAATTGTTATCTATTTTAATGCTTTTGCTCCAGCTCAAAATAACTCATATTATTTTTTGCTCTTTTTGGAATTTCTGGGAGAAATCTGGAAGTAATTGATTAAATCTTTTAGAAGTAAATGAGTCAGTGTTACTCCTCAGCTTAAAAAAAAACTGCTATTCTTTAAGTTAGGAAAATGTTAAGTTAATTTGTCACGAGAGATCCAAAGCTTTAGCCGCAGAGGACAAGCATACAATGCGTACTAGTCAATCAAGTTTGGATTCAAAGGCATCAAGGTAAATTGTAATATTATGAAGTTACCTTAATTGGCATGATGCAATTAAGCTAGTTGATGAGCTCAATTTCTGTCAAAATTTCAGGAATTTGAAGGCAACAAAAATATTAATGGCTTGAAGTCGAACACCTTAGATCCTCCAATCAGAACACAGTCGATTAGAATCTATCCCAAGGATCCAGTGATGTTGGATAGCACCGATCCTAAACCCTGCTGCCTAAGATTAGAGCTGTATGGATGTTCTGCACCAGGTATCATTTGAAGATCGCCTCAACGGCATTTTATCTTCAAGTCAAATAATTTATAGGTGTAATTGCCAGGTACTGTCTTGGATGAGTATGGATATGTATCATATTCGGAGGCTTAAAAGTCTTATTAATGTTGTCTCTGTAAAATCTTTCGAAGTCTTAACCGCTACATAGCTAAACGTTTGACTGAGATATACAGACCTTCAAGAATTAGTTTCCTCTTTTATTTGTTGACTGGAAAGCATGACGTATTCTTGTTTATTGCTCTACATGTCGCCATTGTTTTTGCAAAATCTTGTTAAAAGATTGACTACTATTTTTTAAACTTAGGGTTTCAGCGAAGGGCTATTGTAAAGAAGTTCATGGATCTAGGGGGCCAGTCACTTGGGGGAGGGGATTTTGGAGAAGATCACAATGCTTTTAGGGGGATTGGAGGGGGGTTCACGTGTCACTAACAGAGTTTAAAGGAAGAACTATGGAAAATTGATTGCCGATTAACTGTCGATGGGGGGATTATAGGAATATTGCAAAGCCTCATAGGGGGATCAGGATAATTTTATCGTGACACAACCAAAATCCTCCGACCTCTGAAAAGGCGGGAATTGGATTCCCCACATACGGTTCCCGGATGTAGGAGTCGTATTGGTTCCACGAGTGTTTTAGTTTTCGGTAAACCACTCACGCCCATACAATAATTAGATTTATAGGGGGTATTTTCTATTGTTCCAGCCGACTGCAAAAACCCCGGACATCCATCCAACGGAAAGCGAAATGGGAGCGATTTTGGTCACGGTAAACAGGTAAACTTCACCTGCATGGAAGGTTTCATGCTAGTGGGAAGCGCAACATCTGTTTGTCATAAGGGAACATGGAGTCATACCCTTCCTCAATGCAAAGGTAAGTTGTGTTACTTTGTGATGTGGGTTCATGATTTTCCTTGACTGGCCCTCTTTGCGCTGGAATTTAGAATGCTTCCGTCCTATCCCATTTATTCCATAGGATTATTCAGACAAAGTAATGCCTTTTGAATAGCATTTTTCGTTTCCCGCAGCACTTTAGTAACAAAGATGATGTAAACGGAACAAATAATATCTTGACTTCTTGTTGATTACTTTTCCTCACTCTCCTTTCGTACCGGGATTCGTACCTCGGCGATTTGAGGGCGCCGGTCGAAGCAAAGTCTATTTGTAATTTTTTTTATGGCTTTAATATCTGTAAGTACACTTGTGAGCGCGGGATCGATGTATTATTGGTACTTTGTGAGATTACTAGAATTTAAAAAAAAACTCTCTTACTAACGATCGAAATGCTATCAATTCCAAAGGAAATGAAAATAATTTGTATGGGGCTTTTGGTGCTCGTCTTG